GTGTTTAGACATTCCACCTTTTTCTTGCATGTGCAGTTCAAGTGTACAATAGTGAAAACAACATGCGATGTTTCCACTGCAGAATCGCAATGCAGTTCGGACGCTCAATGTAAAGCGGCTTGGGGCCCCCCCCCCCCCCCCCCCCTTCCCTTCCCAAATTCAGAAGTGTTTCCGCCGTTAAAAAATTGCATTCCCATATAGCACTGGAGTAAAGCTTGGCTGTGCTCTATGATGAATGCTCAGTTCCCAGTGCACAAACAAAATTATGGCAAATGGGAGGCTTTTCTGGCATCCAAAGAAACAAGAGCTGCAGTCTCCGATTTGATCTTTTTCTTTTAGAAAAGCAAAAAACCCAAAGTTAGTGGTTCCTTCACAGCCATGCGCAAAGGTTAAGTCTAGAACCAATAGTTTCAGAGTACATTTGTAAACATCAAGTCTTGCCAGAGGCAGCAGAGGCTGGGCACTTCACATTTCCGTATTAAAAGAGGGACTGAGTGGAAGGTATGCTTTGAACACATTGATGCAAGTCTTGCTAAATTCCAAGAAAGTGGAACAATCCACCTCAAGTCTTAGATTTGAAGACTGTATTCCAAATTTCACCAAAAAAACAAAGCCATGTGGCACAATGAAGCTTTCATACTGTTCCTCCAAGGCTCAGTCACTGCTGTGTTTTGCATATTCAAGGTTCCAAACGAAAACCAACTGAGGCATATGCATATTGCTCTTTGTTCAGATCTTGCAGTTTAAAAAAAAATCTGGTTCAAATGGTCTGTGTCAAAGGAAAACTTGGAAATAAATAATGCTGGCATCATTTTACCAAAACCTTGGGCTGGCAAGTATTCTCCTTTAATCCAACCACGCAGATACCAAGAGAAGAGGCAGTTTTGTCATGAAGATTGAGGTCAGGACAATCGAGGTTCCTGAGGTAATATGTCTGAGTCCATTTCCTCAAAAGTGGGGTCGACATCGTCACCGCTGCCAGACTGTTCCCTCTGCACTCCCTTCCAGCTAGCCTTGTTCAGTCCCAGGTGGCCAAGCATTGTCTGCGACAGCCTGGTGTTTGAAAACCGGGCCCATTCCCCAAACAGTGGTTCCACTAAGTAGGTCATAAAACCTTCAAAAACAAGCAAACAAACATATCCAAGTGAAAAAAAACAGAAGAACACCACTCAAAACTAAATATTTTAAAATAGCAAAAAATAAACAATTCATCAGACTACTCTTCTTTAACGTGCATTTAAAAATTCATTTCAATATTTAGAGCATCTTCACAAAATAATCTCTCAAAATGTAGAATATTTTACTAGGCAAAAGAACAGCATGATATTGGACTATAAATTAACCTCCTTTCTTTCACAACAATGACCAACTGGAGAACATTGAGGGGGGGTGGAATCTAAATATCAAGCAACTGCATCACGCAAATTCACTTAGAAAACCTAAATTTCTAAAAGAAAGATTTTATAAACTGGAAGAGGGCAGATTTAGACTACATATTAGGAAGAAATTCTTCACTGTGAGGGTGGTGAGACACTGGAACAGGTTGCCCAGGGAAGCTGGGGATGCCCCAGCCCTGGAGGGGTTCAAGGCCAGGCTGGATGAGGCTTTGAGCAACCTGGGCTAGTGGAGGGTGTCCCTGCCCATGGCAGGGGGGTTGGAACGAAATGATCTCTAAGGTCCTTTCTAACCCAAACCATTCTATGATTCTATGCCATGGACAGTCTGACCTATATTACATGGGAAAAACAATGTATTATTTTCACAATATCAATCTGACTAAAAATACAAATTACAGAAACTTTTACAGAAAAAGCCCACAAGACATCAACACACATTCATATACATGTTTGTATGTGCAGGTGCCCTTATTTATACTGTCTATTTGTATGAACGAAAAATTCAGTGTCAAAACAAGCAAAATCAAAATGTCAATTACAGAAGTGTATGATTTTCTAACATGCTAAATTACAACAGTGCAGCTGATTGAACAGATCAGTTTTTCATCTCAAATTTCAAGTAGTAATACACATTATGTTTGTTAAATTGATTATTTTCTTTACTATGTTTGAGTCCTATTCAATCTACATTAACTTGACTAAAAAAACCTATAAAAAGTCAGCCCTTTCACTATTTTAAATTCAACTCAACTTAGCAAAAAATTAATATTGTGACTATTCACAGTTCTCCATCAAATCTCTGTCCACCACCCTTTCTAAGGTTGCACTTAAAAGGAATGATAACATTCCAGAGAGCTAAACCCAGAGAACCGGAATCCGACTGTGGCAACCTCTCTGCGAAAGGCACCTGAGACCGCATGGACAAGAGAATGAATGCCCCTCTTCCCAAAGTGGCCAGTCCAGATTAGGAACGTTCTGGGCAGCAGCAATGGAAAAGTCAAACAGCTGCTTTCCATGTTTCACCTGCCCTGTCAGAAAACACAGGGCTTTGGTCTCCCGGACTGTCAGTGCAGCACCTTTCATAAACACTCAATTCAAGGGAGAAATGTTATATAGCAAATTGAAAAAAATCACTATTTGTAACAAAGTGTTGCCACGCATACATACAGAGCATGTATAACCTCTAGGAAATGTATCTAAAAGGTACTTTTTTCAAACTGCATCCTGAAAAAAAATTACTAAAACAAATTGAAGTGCAGTTACCAATCTGGATGTTGGCGATAGTTTCCGTCTGTCGGTCACAAAGTGGACTCACACCCAAGTGATACTTTTTTTCAATATCTCCTAAAGAAATAAAAGTATAACTATTAAATCATCAAGTCCAGACCCAAATGGAATCAAACACTGATAGAGGTGTCTTGTGCAAGTTGGTTAACAAGGATGGCATCTTTCAGCAGGTTAAATGCATTCACTTTCCTCCCCCATCTCCCAAAAAACCCCAAGTAGGTCTGTCAGTGAGACGAACAGTACTTAATTGTTTGATGAAAAATACCAAGAAAAAAAAAGAAATCAAATCAGTCTCCTGAAGGATTAACACACTTCCTTGCAAAACCTCAGACTGCCACAGAAACGACAAATTAAGATTCCCCCCTAAGCAATACAGAAAAGAATAGCTTAGTCTTCAAAATTTTCTCACTGAAGGCAATTTTTTATTCTGCTTCCCCATCGCCTTTATCTAAGAATAAGCTTCACATGATTAGCACCAAATAAAGCAGTCTGTTCCCCATTTATCATATCCATGCACAAATTAGCATGTCTTAAGTCAGCTAAACTAGCCTTAAGAAAGGAGAAGCACACTTTATTTTATTATTAATACAATTAAATAATAATGGAGAAAATTCACTCCATTTGTCAATGAAAAGCTTTATTAACTGCATACATAAGTAAGTAGCCTTAACTGCATGGTAACTAAAAATCTCCTTCCTGGCTCTTACCTGCTCACCAACAGGCCTCACAGACCTGAACAGACATCCCTTTATTCGCAAGCAGCTGTGACTCATAGTCGCTCTCTCCACAGTACAAATACATACGTACCAACAGATACGTCTACTCTTACTTGCCTTGATGGAAGAACTCCTCTGTTACTTTTTCACTCCACTGCTTACTCAGCTCCCATGTCCGACATGGATTACAAATATCAGCACACTTCAAAGCCATCTAGGAAGTTAACATACAGCATTAGATCACCTCTCCCTCCAACAGAAGCATCCGCAATTATATATTTCCTGACAGCACATTAAGTTTTGTGAATAACAAACCTACCTACCATTTGTGCTTCTCCCTAATGTTCTGTAATCGTATTTAAAAAACACTCAGGGAACTATTAGATCTCATTATCATCTCTGAATAACCTGGAAACTCAGTCAAGTCAAAGCATTTCAGGGGTACTATATTTAGCATATTCACTAGGACAGGAGATAACAATAAATTCCAAAAAAGAAACATCAAAGTAAACAGACAGTATTTTGCATTTCTGGCTCTGAAGTTCACATTTTTAATAATGGTTTGCACAGGACTGAACTTATCTGTTTGTCCACTTTCTTTTATAGCCCACAATATGAACCTAATTCTAAAAACTTCAATAAAACTAAAGAGACTCTCAAGGCTTTTGTTTTTAAAGCTTGCTAAACCTCTCTCTAGCACAGCTGCAAGCTGATTCACAACATCAGTGCTTTCCTTTCCTGAAACAGGTTCTGACAAAGCATCTCAGTTCTGAGACTGCACTGGAGTCATCAGAACTAAATCTTGTCTTGGAAACACAACTCTACTTGGCTTAGCAGCTCTAAGTTATTAGACTTACACAACATCACTTAGGAGAACTGTTGGGGGCAGGGGAGATTGGAGGGAACAACCTTTTTGCAATGAAACAAAATGACTAAAAGGCATTTCTACTTTGTTTTGAAAGTAGGAGATAACATAGAAGAAGCATTAGTTAGCATTTTAAGTAAATTATTTTTGATGCTAAAATGTTTTCAGAAATATTACCAAAAATATCACCTGTAAAATGAAGTGCCGATGGTTTGGATTCTCTAAACATAGGTCTCCTCTATCCAAATGGGATCGAAACATGGACAGGTACTCATTTTGCTGACTGATGTCTGTGGCAAGAATGAGATCACCTATCTGGCTTTCCATCAGCTGCCTGAAATTAGTGATCACAAGCATTCAAAAAGCATAACAATTAAGAACAAAAGCCATCACTAGATTTCCATGTCTTTTTATTGTATTCATTATTATACAAATACAAGTCACAAGCTTTATAATCACCATTTTCACTGAAATGTTTCTTTTTTGTTTTCCTTCTCTGAAAAATTTCTACAACATCCATAGACACATGAGGTTGTTTCATTGGCAGCTTTCAGGAAGACTAAACCAGCTTTTAGCTCCCCCTCCCCCTTTTTTTTTTTCCTTAAAAATGCACAAACTAATTGTTGAAAGCTTAATTCTTGTTAAAGTAGGTGAAGAGGGTCTATTTTAAACTCCAGTTGTGATGGCAAAATGAGAAAAAGCTGCCAAGTTTAATCCAAACAGGTGCTTGACTATACGAATACACTTCTTCAGCATGTGCACAGTAAATATTATTTTCCGAATATCCCATTGCACCATGAACTGCTCTACCCCAACGGCACGGTATCCAGGAATTCTTAAAATAGATCACAAGCTACTGTTTTTATTCAGAACTGCCATGCAATTAATTTAGCTTGTTTTGCAAGGCTGTCTTACTCAAGGGACACCTTACTTACATCTTAAACTAATCTACACTATTTTGTATAAACATACCTGTTTTCTAATGACATATGTGCAAATAAACCAGACTCTCTCAGCAACCCCACTGCTGATCTCCAGTGATGGTTCTCTAATACTGAGGTATTCTGCAAATGAAGAGGGTATTACAGGTATCAATGACTTTTTCTTACATGGAAGAGCTATATACTAAGAGTAGTACCAGACAGTTCCATCGGGTTTTGGGGTGGTATTTTTCTCTCTTCTTTTTTTTTTTTTTCCCCAAGGAGGTTAAAACTCACAAATCCTAAATACTTTGTTAGCGTGCACATTATTTTTATCCCAGTGGCATGGAAACAATGTCTGGATTCAAACCTATCACTAGCTAAACACATCACAATTTACACTCCTTCTCTGTACTCCTCAAGCATTTTTCAAACCTCATCTTAACAAAACAACTGATTTTTTCCTTACCTTATATAAAGTTGCTAAGTAATGGTTTGTTTTAATTAGGAAAGGTTGGTTAACACCTGGATGATCCAAATCATGTGTCGCAGCTGCTATTAAACTGAGCAGAACATCCCATGGAGTTAAAGATTTGGAAAGCTGTAAGATAATAATGACAAATTTAATTCTGTTAGCAATACAAATATGCCCTTAGAAAAAGTGCATAGGTGTCACATTTGTTTTTCCTTTTTAGTAACTAAGAGCCAATAGAGAGAATTTTAATAATGTAAAATAGTGTTCCACTGACTTTTCACATTATTTCCCCTCAAAAGTTACAAAACTTCAACAATGCTTTAAGCATTATTCTTCCTGAACAGGAAGGTTCAGTCTTAGAAAATCCTGGCACACAAAATGCCACCCTTCTGGCTGGTACCATTTCTAACCAGATCCTGTAAAAGCAGTGAATTCTTAAAATTATCTCTCCAACTCATTTACCAAGTGCTGTGGTTTCAACCCACTAAGCCAGCAGCCAAACACCAGACAACCGCTCGCTCACTCTCCCCCCAGAGAATTAAAGGGGTAAAGGGAAAAGAGACTCATGGGTTGAGATTAGAACAATTTAATAAACTAAACTACAATAAAATTGAAAATAATGATAATTATAATAGTAACATATACAAATGTACAAATGCATGATACACAGTACAACTGCTCACCACCCAGTGACCAAGGCTCAGCCCATTCCTGGCTAACAATCCCAGAGCAGGGAGAGTCTTGAAACCGCAATTCCGGAAAAGAGATAAGAGCCCGAGTGTCCAAGAGAGAAGATGACCTTGAGAGAGCATGAACTTCCGGACAGATCCTCATTTACACATTGGGCATTACATGCATGACATGGAACATACCATTGTCCAATATGGGTCTCAGTCCTAAACCTAAGGTCAAATCCTAGGCTAGTAACTAGGGCTGTGCTCCCTCCCAGCTTCTCCTACACCTGCAGACACTGTCACAGCAGAGAAGCTGAAAAGTCCTTGGCTGTTCTGGCAGCAACTATAAACAGTGTGTTATCAGCCTTCTCCTCAGCACAAATCCAAAACACAGCCTCACACTAGCTACTATGAGGAAAGTTAACTCTGTCCCAGCTGAAACCAGGACACCAGCTCTGTCTGTATGTGTCAATCCTGCTTTAAATACAAAGTACATTTTAAAAAAACACTAAAACTTTTAATTTTAAAAGGAAGAAACTAATGCTCTGGAAGATATCAGAATTGTTCAGAATGGATGGAACTCTTATGCGAAGTTATATTTCAAAGCCTACCAGGGAAAGAACTGAAGGAGGAAAACCTGCCAAAAATAAGTATTTTCAAGAAGTATGTGCATGTCTATTAACTCGGCATGAAACTGCATGGACTTATTTTCACTGCCCATAGCTGCTACTACTTCTGGTTGGGACATTTGTGAGTTAAACTTACTAATAAAGTCTAGCTTGCACTAAAACAGAGAGGACAGTTCTGCCCACACAAAAGTGAAATGCAGCAAACACCCTGTGAGGAGAAGTTGTTTATATTCCCTGTTGCATTTGCTGTCTATCATGCCTCACATGTTTATAACGTACTTGTACAACTGAACCAGTAGCTGTATATGCTACTAAAAATACAAAGTCTATACTTGTATCCAAAGCACTACAAACTTCCATCACAAGTGTTAAATAAAAAATGCTCAGAGCTTCCAAACTGCATGCAATAAAAAAACTCATCATGTACCAGCTCTGATTTGGCTCACCGCACCAACAATTGATCTGAGAGCACTGAAAAACTGAGTGGAAGGAGTGGGCAAAGAGCCTCTGAAAAACATCGATGGAGCTGCAACTTACTCATTTTTCCTTCAGAAGCAGAATAAAGAGCTATGCTATTCAAGAGAATATCAGATTGGTGATGAACTGTATTCAGGTAGCTAGCTTGTCTCACCTGCCCAGAGAGCATTACAGTTTTCAGTTTAATACAGAAGGACAGGAATTAGCCGTCTGAAATTGTCTAATACATCACACAGCAGACTGCTGGCAGTCCAAGTAATAAGAAACAAACACTCAACTAGCTCAGCTCCTTCAGGTCTGCCACACTGCCCTTTTTTAGAAAGGCCAAAGAGAACTCCTGATGTCTTCCTTTAAGGTGCCTCTAGCAGAAGCATACTATTCATTAACATCAAAGATAAGCAAAGGAAGGATAACGGTAGTTTCTGGAGGGAAAAAAACAAACCACGACCACACAAAAAAAATCCCACACCAAACCACAAACATATGGGCTTTTTATCACCAGCTCTGACTCAGGCTACAATTCTATGTATGCGCCTTGGAGCACAGGGCTACGTTAAACAGCTGCTGTCTTAATCAATTCCCTACTCTGGTTCAACTTGAAGTCACACAAAAGACAAATTCCAGTTCAGAAGAGGGGAAAAAAGAAAAGAACACTGCTAAGAATGTACCCACAGCCTCAGCAACATGGAGAGTAACTACCTGTCTTTTTGTGTTCAATAGCATTTTATGTTGGGTTTTGGGGTTTTTTTTTATAAAATTTGTTTTGTAATAAAATGTGTATATATGTGCACACATTTATATGCACACACACAAATACATGTATTTCTGTATATACATGTGATGTAAAAGTGAGAAGGCTCCCTTACCTTGGGCTCTTTTAAGTAACAGTGCATGGCCTGAGTCACATCAGCAGCATGAACTGCATTATGATAAGGGTTTTGACTGTGATAATCTTCTTGAACCATAACTGCAGGAAGATAACAAATATCCAAATTCAAATAAAAGAGCAATTTTTTTCAAGTAGCATTTTATATGTCCCTGTTAGGCACAGAAATACGCAATATCACAAGTTACATACCCATAAAAGTGTCAAAGTCAATAAATAGTCAGCTGAACCAAGACCCAAGTATAAGAGATTTTTATGTGAAGAAACAGTATTTTCTAAAGGAAATCAACTACATGTAAAGTCGTCTCAGAGCAAAAATTAAACAACTTGAAATCAATATATAATCTGAGATCTGACTTCAAGAACTTCCCAGGAAAGGCTCCCTTTGATAATCTAGCCTGTCCGAATGTTGAGGCAACCTGTGAAACAAAATGAAGATGACAGAATTTACCAAAGCATTAGGATGACTTCATATCATGCCTTGAAAACAGACTGGATCAGTGGAATTCGGCACTGCTTTCCTGTCATATGAAGTGCTTTTCTTTCCCTTTCAGAAGAGTGGTCATGGAAAGCCACCTCCATATAGTTTAGGCATCTTCTCGTACTTGTACCCAGACAAATTTAAGCCTTTATGCAATTTAGAAAAGAATCTCATTTAGGTGATGGTCTGACTAACCACTCCTAAATTTCATATTCCCTATTCAACTTCTTCCTTGCTTTCCTCCTCTTTACTTCATCTTCCTGGCTATCTTTAACCATTACAGGTAGAATACTTTAAAGGACATCAACATTAGCCTGAGTACGTAGAGTGAAAAAACTAGAATGCTAAAAAGGATGGAGGGGGAGAAGATCTGAAGCACAGCGATCAAACTACATTCTAAAGTTTTGCCTGATATGACACATTAGCTCTTTCAAGTAAGCCTCCAAAGAAATTCTCCTGGATGACTACAGTCAGTCCCATTCAAACAAACATGCCCACAAACTCTTTTCCTACCCAGTACCCTCCATCTACTTGTGACTGTAATGTTAGAGCATTACTGCCATGGTATTTGTGAAGAGCTGTGCTTCATGAAAAGGGAAAACACTGTTACCATTGCGTAATCTCAATCATACTCAGCAAATAGCTGACACCTCATATGGAAAACAACAGAAACAAGCATCTTCAGGCTCTATTAACCTGCAGTAGAACTCCCTTTCCCCTGTTCCTCACATCTAGTGCCTGAATGAGGATGTTTTTGGCTTGCTCCTCATTTTTTGTAGCCTCACAGGCTGGTCCAGCTACCTGAAGTCCACAATTTTCCTAACTTTATTTATCTTAATAAAGCAGACCTAGAATAATACTTTGATTACAGTTTGCCAGAACTAGATCGGCAAGACAACCCCATGCTTCCAGGAATGTAGTACTTTGTATTTTCTCTCTTCCTATTCAGGTCTGGAATAAGAACTTGAAAACACACAGCAGGAGACAGATCTCCAAATAACCTTTAGAAATCACAGAAAGACTGTGTATGTGTATAAACAAACATATATACACACATACATATGTGAAATATATACACAAAAATAAATGTTGAGATCATACTGAGAACTAAAAATCAGGTTTCTCTCCTTGAAAAGATTGCAGTAAGTTCTCCAAGTGAATTGTGTCTGGCACTACGGACCACTTGAGCTGTCCTAGTCTTCTGGAATTTGATCTTCAGATTACTTTGGAGTGGGGTGTAAGAGGTAGCAAAAGAAAAGAATGAACTGGGTTCATGCTAAGAAGCTGTATTCGGAAGAAAGGTTCTTTTGATTGGACAGATGGGCTATGACAGAGCTAAGAAATGTTTTTCTTACTGCTATTAAATAGAAGGCATTAACGAAAAGAGAAAGGTGGTGAATTTAATGCTAGAACAAAATTTTGCCTTCTTCCAAGTCTAATCTCATTTTAGTGACATGGCTTTGAGTAGTCATATGTAGTTAAGACTACTGTTATCTTTTGATAACTAGTTAACTAATCCAGCCAGTCCTAACTCATCTTTCAAGTGCTGTCTTTTGCTAAATCTCAACTAATGAGGAAATAAGCAAGATGAGAAACACACAACACACTCAGCTACAACTTGAGTAGCCTAAGACCAGATTTCTATAACAACTTTCTTCACATTCCAATATATCAGTCCTCAAGGTCAGCTGATCTACGTTTTTAAAACTGGAAGGATTTGATTCCACTTTAAAACAAGATGAAATGCAAGACAGAACTGATTTTTTTAAAGCTGAAAGAGAACTAAATGATGAAAAAAACCCCCCCAAAAAACACCAAACCATTCCTTTACTCAAAAGGGGAGAAAAGCCTTCCAAAAGCTTTCTGCTAAATGACAAGCTTTGTAACCACAAAATTGTTTTCTCTGAAACTGTGAGAGCCTGCCAAAAGGGACAAGAAACTTGTTTCTCCTGCTCAGATAGAAAAAAAAGCATCCCACTCCAAAATAATAAATAAAAGGTACTGTCACAGAAGAACTGAAGAAAGGAATCTGTGCCTATGGCACAGGGATGCAGAAAGACAGCTCTTTCAGCCATCAAGTGAAAGTACCACTTCGTTCAAATATTCTACATCGTATTTACAATTCTTTCCATTGAAGCATTCCAGCGCCACAGGCCCAAACATTTGAGTAAAATTGTCTTGCACACTCTGTCTCTGGGAAAAGTATGTCCACAGTACTGTGTTTATTTGTAGGAGAGTTTGAGCAAGCAAGAAATAGCATCAAATTGACACTATTAAATATGGCCAAGCTGGCATGTTCAATACAGTTAGGAAACAATATAATGAACTTCAGAAATTAAGATTAAAACAGAACTGAAAATCAAAACAAAGGAGATGTCTAACCTTTCCCAATAAAAACATCACACAATGTCACATACATTTAGATTTAATAAATATAATAAAACTTCTGCTATGAAACTACTGAACTTTTTAATACTTGCTTGGATTAACATGGAGATTTCTATACGCATAGAAACTTTGAGAGTGTCTCAATCAATATAATTTAAATCACTGCACAATCTGGACTGCATTGGTACTCTTGAAACCTCATTGCTAAACTATAATCGGCACTTCATTTAAGGTATAAAAATGCGGATAAACAGCAATATTCATTATAATAAAAAGCTGTATTTACCCAAAAATCTACGAAGTTTCATCGTATCTAACTGGAAGTGTTCAATTAGTCCATGAAGATTAAACAGATGAAAGGTTAAGCTGACTAGACTGTTTCCTAAAAATAAGATGAAAATACTAATTCACTGGAAGCCATGAAATCAGTGACTCTCATAAGAAATGTATTATTTCAAACAAATTGGTCACAAAAATTACACAAGCAAATTTCTCTACACCAATTTATGATAAACATTTAAATCTTACTGCATGACAAGATTCCATTAGCTATCCCTTCTAGTAATTACCAGTATTTTTGCATAATTATAATGCATTCATCAATTGTCTACTGTCAACCGATAGGAGGAAATGTTAACGAACATTAAAAAAGCGACAGGTTTCAATGTGCAAACCCGTTACAATGGTATTCAACTTTGTGGTATCTTGCATCATGATATTTATAAACAGACATACAGCTTAAAACTGAATATAAAAATAACCAGGCATAGAAAAAAAGCTAACCAACACTATAGATTAGCCTACATTGTACATACGCTATCTCTCATTTTCATCATGTATTTTGCTAAACTGCTCCCTGTTTCACCCAGAACTCAAAGAAAAAGTTTTGTTTCTCTAGGAAATGTATACTATTACAAGCTTACAAAATACTTTGCCTACTCATAGCTATAATATCATAATCACTTGCAGTGGTAAAACAAGCACAACTGTAAGAGACAAATATCCTGCAAATGTTTACTTTAAATAGCTTGCCCATTTGTTACACTGCAAATAATATTTAGTGGCAGATAACTCAGTTTTGGTACCTTGACTCTGACAATCTTCATTTAGAAGGAATTAAAGAACCTAGCACAGACAGAAATTGAGGCACAAAAGGACAAAAAACTGCTAAATCTAGGCTTAATGTATTTGTATGCGTGCACCACTTCCTCACAATAAGATACACAATTCTTTGAACAACATTTCTTACAGGCTGGTCCAGGGCAGCTCATCAAGTAGAGTTTTATATACAGCATTCTCCCCTTACAAACTTTCAAGAACAAGACGGCCTCCTAAAATGACTAAATTAGGATGCAAAAAGGATGGTATAGTAAGGCTTCCACAACAGAAGCTGTACTGGTAGTATCTAAAATGTATCTGAAAAAAGCATACTTAAGAGATAGAGAAGGTTTCATATAAAAATTATTATTTCAGATTACTCCCATGTGATAAACTGATCTGAAATAACCTATGCTTACAAACATCTTAAGTTTCACCCATAGCTTTTTTCTCATTCAGTTATCTAAAGTTTATAGTTATTTATATAAACGTTCTATTTGTAAAAATCCTTACTGTTTTCACTTTTAATATAAATTTTCTGTATTATATCAAACTGTCAGGATACTACTTTTACACTAGATTAAGTCAAGCATCCTTCAACAAAACAGGAGAGAAAATTATCTTTTGGCACTCTATCTTCCTTTCACAACTTCCATTTCTCTTTCCTTCTGTCAACTTTAAACACATTGCATCTCTGCATCTCTCTACTCTATTCGACTGATGAAAAGCCTGCAAGAGCTGCCCTCCATTCATTTCCCACACTGGCACAAATGTCACCGTGGTGCTGGACTTGCTCATCTCCTTCAATTTTCTTCACAACTCAGCTTCCATTGCTGGGGATTATAATACAAAACTCCCCTCTGTCCACTGCAGCAGCCCTCCTCCTTTCCAGCAAGCACATTTGCACATCTCTTTTCTAAATGTCTGTAACTTAAACAATGCTTTATTTGTTGGTTGTTTTTTTTTTTCCAAAGCAACAACTTCTTTAGTTCCTACCGCTATTTGTAATGAGTGCACAAAACTAACCATAATATTTTCTTTTTTTTTTATTTTGTGCAAGCTACATGTACAGCAGCTTCTGCCTGTTCAGCTCCTAATTCTCTACATTAAATTTACTGGAAAAATACTTGTTCAATGTAACTGAGCTTTTGGACACAACCATATAATTCCAAAGCAATAACTTCTTTAGTTCCTACCGCTATTTGTAATGAGTGCACAAAACTAACCATAATATTTTCTTTTTTTTTTATTTTGTGCAAGCTACATGTACAGCAGCTTCTGCCTGTTCAGCTCCTAATTCTCTACATTAAATTTACTGGAAAAATACTTGTTCAATGTAACTGAGCTTTTGGACACAACCATATAAATTAACAGCATTCCATAATTAAAAGTACTAAATTAGCAAAATTATTTGTTAATTTATACCAGATTACTGCTTATAATAAAAGAGTGAACAGCAACCTACAAAGTACAAGAAGGGCCTCTTCTATAAATCAGTGACTGTTATCAGTACTGATAGTGATGGCATTTTAACAGAGTAGCCAGGCAAACCAGGATTTAGATTAAAGACTATCAAAAAGTACCACCTGATGAAATTGGTGCTTTTTAGTGAACAAGCAATCACATACCACAACATAAGAGCAACAGTTACGCTAAGAGATAAAACACAAATGAAATAAAAGTAAACTCACCATTTGTCAGTCTATCAAAAAGAAAAATATCAAAATTCCAATTTCCAACCTTCTCCAGCATACACTGAAAGAAAACACAAAAGCTGTCACTTTTTTCTCAGTATATGACTATATTCTTGTAGGCCAGTAGTATTTAAGATTTCAGAAACTGATGCATGTCTTAGAATTTCTATATACAAAAAATAGTACTAAAATACTAATTTGTCTGGTAACTGAAAAAACTTCATAAATATGCTGTAAATTGAAAAACTGAGACACACAAAGTGTCTTGACAGTACTGGCTTTAGAGTTTCCTTTCATCCTTTAGTCATTTCTCAAGTAAAATTTAACACGATCAGGTTAAAAACAGAAACAGTATGAAAGAATTCAGACCATGTTCAGACTTCTTCCAATTTTAATTTTTGCAACGAGTTGGTAGTTAATCTCCGTGTAGTCCTTCACCTCAGTTTCTCTCCTTCCCTTGTTGTTTATATAAGTGAAATAATATCTAGATGCTTTACTAAACGTATCAGTCAAGCTTTTAATTTCTTTAAGAAACTGCCTTTTGACTTTCCACCTCACTGAACTAGCACTTCTTCACAGCTGGTCCAGATGAACTGAAGTTTGTCCAGCAACATAGATGAACAAGAACAAACAGCACTTGAGGCTTCACTTCACCAGAGTTCAGCAGTCACAGCTCTTGCTTCCCCTACCTCTATCAGAAATACCTGCCCAGCACATTTCACAGCAGATACGTGCCTTCTCCTGCTCTCATTAGATTGGTAGAGCTGTTTGTGACCCACTTACTACATTCTAGCTTTTCTCCACCAGCCACTAAAACTCATCTACCAGAAGAAACAAAAAACATTGACAAGATCTTTCTGCTGTTTAATTAAATGCATGCTTTTTAAATCCATCCTCCAGGTTATCTGGTTCTTCCTACACTGCAGCCTAATTATAACGCAGTGTATCTGTACAGCACATAAGTGTACTCCTTTCCTTCTTCAAGGTTACTAACAAGAAGTTTTGCACATGATCATTAAGACAACACAGCCTTTGGGATCTAGAATAACCTATAAACTTTGCCTGCTCCTTCTCTTTCAGTTCTATCCATCCTCTGTCCTCAATTCACTAGCCCTTCATCCAACTAACTATTCCTTTCAAACTGCCCATCTTTCCAGTATGCTTTACTGTAGCATGGATATATTAGAGTTATCACACTTTTATTTTCTAGAAGAATTGCCCACCAAAGAAAAAGTCAGTTTGGCATAATAATCGTCTGATAAATCCATTTATGCATTGAGCTTTCAGTAGTAGTCACTCACTCTTCCAGAAGTTCAGTAGTAAGGTTAGACTAAAAAGGAAATGGGGGGCAGGAGGGGAGTTAGTTGTCCAAATTGCTCCATTACATTTCTTAAATAGTTGATTTTTCTTTCTTCACTTTTTCTTCAGTTATTACAGTGCATCCTCCAGTCACTAGAGTTATTAAAAAAACCTGCTAGCCATATAAACCCTAAAGGTCATCCCAGTAAACTTGTGGGAGGTGAAGGAGTTTGTTAGAAAAATTTTGCCTTGACTTTATTAAGATATAAACATATATACACACACAAACACACACACATACACACACATATATATAAAATAAATAATTAAAATTTGTATTTGGCTGCACTATCTCTTAACATAAGATACAGTTATATACTAGCAACCATTTTTTAAAACAGTTTTACAAAATAAAAATCAAGCGACCAACCTTTGCTTGTCCATTATAATCATCATCTAAAATGTTTGAAGAATTTGGAACAGTGATACCACGGAAAAAACGGGAAGATCTCAGGTATCGCTGGAAACTAAGCAACCTTCTCACATTTCTCGCAGACACAGACACCTCAATTTCAGAATTTGCTACAAAAAAACAAGAAAATAAATACTGTCTCCAATAAACTTTTACCAAAAGACGACTGTTCAGGGAAGTCTGGTACAACAAAGGCGCTGTAATTTCTTTTTATTGGTGTATCAAATGTTTCAGCCACGAGATTTTTTTATTAATAGGATTTATAGAGCCCCCAGAGAGTTTTCTATGTAAGCACCTGTGAAGAAAACTGAGTATTTACATCACAGCTGAAACTTATCTTTTTTAAGAACTCTGCTATTGAAAGGACAGAAATGTTATAGAAATTGTGCAAACACACATATAGTACTGCAAACAAGTTCTTTCTGGAAAACTGCTCTCATCTATACACATCCAAACTGTTTCCCTAGCAAATCACATAAGATATATACATCTGCAAGACCATTTATTGTGTGTTGATACAGGAGTTAAATAGGTTTTGAACATGTAGAGATAACTTTTACACAGATTTTAAAGCACAGAAATTCTTTTAACTTTGCCATATAGTAAAGTTTTAAACAGATTCAGGGGATTTTTTTACTTTGGAAGATAATTATGCTCAGAACCTCTCCTCTGCCAAACAAGTACCACATTTGCTTCAGAGCACATGTAATTCCCTTTCCCAGTATAGTGAAATCCCTATAGAAAATGGTGTTAGCCTGTTTTCAAAGATTAATCCAAATATTTTTTTATTAGGTTAAGCAGTTTAACTATTCAAATGACTGTTGCTAACCTGTGTTCAATTTCACTTGATTTGCTTGAAATGTTTTAGAAACCTGAAGATCAAACTATACATAGCTACAGTTTCTCTGGAATGAGACAGATGTCTTTATTCTGAAATACTTAAGGCCGAACTTGGCCTCTACTTTCTTTTCAGCAGTATCCCCAACAGCAGTTGTACAGAACCAATAGACAGATAAGTTTCATATTCCCTCATTCTACCCGAAATGCCTTACGCCAAAAAAAAAAAAAGGGGGGGGAGTACAAAGTTAGGCAGTCAACACGAACATGCTCTTTTCCAAAAATTCAGATCCTCAAAACCAACATGAGCCCAACTTTGCAGGCCTCTGGCCCTTCCAAGAACAAGGCACATTAGACATTGGTGGAGTAAGCAGTTACAATTTTTGTTCTTAAACTCAGTCTAAAATACCGTACAGGGGAAGGTGTGGCCTTATTAACAACCTCAAACACTTCAGTGGTTTCTAGTGAAAACAGTTTAATTCTACATAAGACAAACTTTTATCCATATAATTTTTCTCCCTGCAGAAGTTCTACATTAACTCATTAATACATTAATTTCCCCTCTACACTAATAAAACACCTCTGAACAGAACTGACAATTGCACTAACATACAATATCTTGTCAGATGCAGCAGCATTTCATGCCAACAGAGATTAAATTGACAAAACTGGAATACTCTTTCAGACATGCCTGAAACACTTCAAGTGAACTGAAGTTCCCCTCAGTTTCAAAGGGCTAACACAGACAACTTCACATGAAATATCTTTCTTCAAAAGCCATCATAATTAAGGCCAAGGGCATTTCCTCTGAAGATACCGGTACACGTATATTCCAGTTATGTAAGCAGGTGTACTACATATGATAAAGGCTACTTGTAAGGAAACGTTCAACCGTACAGCAGGCAAATACATAGATTCTGTCATGCTGCATTACTCCACCAGTATTTCTGACCGCAGCTGTTGACATGAGGTTCCAGCCTGAGCACTGCCAGCCTGCAGAACAGAGCAGCAGGGAGCAATACAGGTGCTCCTGTTAACAGAGTGCAGGTTTCAGTTAAAAAGTTTCCCCCCCCCTCAATCTTGATGCAGTCCCTTAAAATCCAAATTTCAGAACAGAAGTCATTAGGTTTGAAATTAAATTTTTTAAAAATTTGTATATTTAGGTCATAAAATTATCTAAAATGTCCATAAAGTCACATACAAAACCCAGGAACTTCATCAAATCTCATTAAAATGAAATATTTTACGTAGGAAAAATCAGCACTCTTCTGGAAGTACAGAGAATTTTCTTGATCATAACTAGTCTTTTACAGATCTATCGCTAACAAAAACCTACTTTTGTTGCCATGCTACAAATGAGTCTCACTGTCACAGATGCCACCCATTAATCTTTGACAGAACAGTATGATGTAGGTAATACAAGTAAAACAACAGCTTTTGTCAGCTAAGCACGCAACAGAACACAGAAATGCGATAATTTGGCAGCACAGGCCTGTGTTCCTAAGTCACTTGGGGGGGTTGCACATGTTTTTGCTTCTGTATTTTTTCTGATGAGGATGTGGGCACAGAGGCAAATGAATTATTCAGTTTTCTGTGAAGCTGAACAGTCATTACTCTTTACATTGCAATATGCTATTGAGACATTAATCTTAATAATTTTAAACTCTATAAATTATCAGTTTGTATAACTCATAAACCACCACTCTTAAACATTAATCCTACTTTTCTCTCTCTTATTTAAAAAAAAAAAAGAAAGAGCATTGCTGCAGCTGAGAGAGTTTAAATGAACAACAAAAAGCCTACTTCATTCCAGCTTTGCTGGCAGTAATACTGCTGTCACAGGATCACAGAATGGCAGAGGTGGGAAAGGACCTCTGGAGGTCATCTGGTCCAACCCTTCTGCACAGGCAGGGCCACCTAGATCTCATTGTTCAGGGCAATGTCCAGGTGACCTTTGGATATCTCCAAGGATGGCTACTCCACAGCTTCTCTGGGCAGTTTGTGCCAGTACTTGGTGACCCTCACAGTGAAAAAGTGTTTCCTGATGTTCACAGGGAACTTCCCGTGTTTCACTTTGTGCCATTGCCTCTGGTCCTATCACCGGGCACCACTGAAAAGAGCCTGGCTTTGTCCTCTTTGCACCCTCTCTCCCTTCATATGTTTGTACACATTGATGAGATCCTCCTGAGCCTTCTCTTCTCCAGGATAAACAGTCCCAGCTCTCTCTAGCCCCTTACTCATCTTCCTGGCCCTTTGTTGGACACTTTCCAGCATGTCCACATCTCTCTTGTGTACTGGGGACCCAGACCTGGATATAGCACTGCAGATGTGGCCTCACCAGTGCCGAGTAGAGGGGCAGGATCATCTCCCTTGACCTGCTGGCAATGCTTCTCCTAGTGCAGCCCTGCATTAGCCGCCTTTGCTTCAGGGGCACATTGCTGGCTAATGGTGGACATGAAATTGAACAGGAGCCCCAGGTCCTTCTCTCCTTCTTAATTCTTTATGCCCTGCTGGAAGCCAGAATATCACCCAAAGTATTTTTTACTTCCAAGTTATTTTTTTATTAAAATTATTATAACCTTGTTATAAGCATCTTAACTGAGATGCTGATATTAAAAAAATGCTTTTCTCTAAAATAAAGAATTCTGTTTACTAACATCAGTTATTTTGACCTTATGTATATACAACAAAAAAATAAAATAATGCAAGTTGTCCTCATGCAATAGATTTCTTCTGTATTCCAAGACAGTTATTTTAATCTCTTCCCACTCCCAATCTTTTAAGTGTGTTGTACTTCATGAAAACCTAAAAAATATTTTTATCAAATTTCATAGGTATATAAAGTATTTTTCTCATGCTGAAATAAACATACAAAATAAGTAGGGGAAAGAACTCAAAAATCACTTAAAAATCATAATATACTGATATGTTCTGAATTTTTGCATCTTTCATAGTGTAAGGACAGACAATGAAAGAACAAACGACAATTACGGTTTGTTTTAAATTTTTATTAATAGAAACCTTAAATCCTAGCAAAATGCTTCAACTTTCTTCTAATACAGAGATAAAGACACAGGGCCTCTGATGCGGACCTGGTCAAAACAAGGCTTATTCAGGGTAAGAACTATACCTTCCCTTTCTTCCCTGCTACAGCCAAAGGTAAATAGGAAATTATCCATGACAAAAATAACTGAACTTTACTAGTACCAATATAAAGAGCTTAACTGAGGTTCTTGGGTATCACTGCGCTAATAGAAAAAGGAACCAGAGGAGTTTTTTTTCCTAAAAAATTAAAGGAAATCATTTCATGGAAGTAATTCCTCACGATTCCATATTAAAGGCAACTACACATTTATTTATCAGTTTTTACATAGCAGATACTATCAAACATAACATATCTGAACATTTCCACTAACTGTAAATACATACATTTGAAAGAAAATTTCAATTTCACATGCCAATTATAACTGTACTTATAAGGCCCTCCATGATACAAATAATTTTCTATTTATGAATCATTTGAAGTATTATCTAGCCTTTCACACCACTAGAGGGACCCACAACCGTTCTAATTCCACTTCTATTCCCATCAAACTGTTATAGAAATGCATTACATTAGATTCATGTAGATTTAAAAAAAAAAAAGTCCTGTTATTTACCTCTTCTTTAAGTTTTCTGCTCATGATTTGCATTTTAAAGTACTTTTAAGACATTCAATACTAAAGTCATGTATAAAACTATGATTTCATTTGAAAGATATAATTCCAGCGAGAATTTTGAAGTTTATATATAAAGACTACTGGTGTCTAAATCACCTTATTATACTTTCTGTTTTCCTTAGAACCGCTCCGA